GTTTCGGGACAAAACAAAAATAGGATTCTTGAAGTCGGAGTGTACTTCATTCTTCTCCAAACCATAAGTGTAAGTGCATATTAAATAACAAAATTCTGTAGAGCTAGCCAGGCAAAAAAAAAATGCATTGGTTTAACAAAAACCACAGAGTCAGCACAGTGATTCTGACTCAACAAATGCATTTCAATTACAGCATGCAGTGCTGCAAGTGATCGCATCCATGGCGCTCGTAATGGTAATGCTGTGGCCACTGTTCGCTTATAGCCAGGTGTCTTCGCTGTATTTCAATGTTAATGTCACATTGGGCACTGTTAAAGTGTTGCGCAAATGCACTTTTATGCCGCCACCCGGTATGTTTTCTCCAAGATCACAAGCATATCAGGTCTCTTTTAGAAAAGTATTTTATAATTTTTTTTTTCAAAATTTTTCTTAAAATACGAGTGCCGTAACACATTTGGAAGTAGCGCTGTTATCATGAAGTAGGTCGAAGGTTTGACTTCGACACAGGGATAACCAATCTGCGATTCGTTTATTCATTTAGACGGTAAATTGGTGTTGGCACGTGCCACGGAGTCAAATGCGCCATCAACCTTCGTTTTTGTAACTCTCTAAAAAAAAGGTTGTCATCAGCTTTGTAGTGAGCGGTTGCTGTTGACATTTGCTACCACTTGCTCTACTTCGCGAATGCTTCCGCCTCATTGGAGGTTAAATTTGGAGAGACTTTGATTTTTGGAAGTTTTTTGAAATTTTTAATATAGTTTCTTTACCTGTCGTCTTTCTTTGATTTTGTTGAGAAGTTCTGATTTTAAAAACTTTAGTGAAATTTGATAATGAAATGGTTCGGGTGCAAGTCATGAAGAGACATCTAATACAAGCTTACTTCCCAGCAATTTTTGAAATAGGGGATTATTAAAAGTCTTTCCAAAAAGTAGCTGCGGACGGTAATGTGTTGCCGTTTGGCATTTTTACAAAGTGCTCTTGCTTGCAAGTGAAAGTGAAATATGGAAGGAAATTTTAGCTTCCAAAAATTTTAGCATATATATTCAACTTTTAAACCTTTTTTCTCATAAACCAAAATCACAATATGACAAGATTACATACATAACTGAACTCTGGCTTGCTGAAGCAAGAAAGTGGAAATGAAGCAAGGAAGTAGAAATTTTCAACACACAAGTCAGATTTACACAAAAAAGCAGCAGTTCACTCTTCCTGTGCTTTTCTGTTTTGCAACTGGGGAATGAAGCTGGGGATTGGAAATTTCAGGATCAACTCTGAAAAAAAATTTAAAAATCATTCCGACGTTGCTATACGCCGGACAGTTTTTTGAAAAAAATTTCAACAAACCCCATCTTTATCTATTGGTTAAATAGAAATTGATAATATTCGTTTTCTATAATATATTAGACCATATCATTCACATGAACAGATGAAAAAAGAAAGCGCCCACTTTAAGATCATAACGAGTCTGAAGTTTCATCGTTGTGTGCTTCTAAGCTATCGATGTTGAGGACCTTGCCAGCGGCAACGAGGCGGCAAATGCCAATAACAATCAACCGCTGGCAAGGACAGGGATAGCTTCTTCGTCGCAGGGTTGTTTGAAAATAAGCTGATAGCAGTGCATCAACTATTAACATTGCAAAACGTTTCCTGAGAAAGGCGAGGTATCTATCTTCCCTGCCGATGCTTTTATTTGCGCTAGTCACTGGGGTCAATTAGACAAATAACTTCCAACTTATAGAGATTGAACTTGGCTTTGGCATAGTATCTTGCATTGCGAGCTATGCTATACCGCTCGGTGGAATGATATATTGGTACGTTTCGGTGCCATTTTTTCTCAGGAAGCGAGCTGGCAATTCTCTTGCTTGCGGCAAGTTCGTCTTGCATTTTGAAAAATTAAAAAAAAAATTTCCAAACGAGTAATTTTGTGGAAGGGAAAATCACGCATCTGTACAGTTCGTCGACTTGAAGGATTTCATGCGATGAAAACACATGTTAGTAAAAAACTTAAATTTCTAGCTCAGTTCTAGGCATCTTCTGAAAATGATAAATTTGCTATCCAGTTTAGCCACTTTTATTGATTTCGCTGATTATTCTCCAACTACTTACATTTTCAGTAATTTTCTTCGCAATAAGAATAGAAATAATATAGCAACAATAATAATAACAGTAATAATAATGATAAAAATCAAAGTAGAAGTAATAAGAGAGGATAACAATCATAGTGATAGTAATAATGATAATAAAAATAATCCCAGTGACAATAATAACATTCGCAGTTGTATCCTTATTGAGAATTATTATGCAGTTTGGAAAATGTACTA